AAATATGACAAATTATCTCAATGTGACAGTGTATGACAATATGACAATGTATCTCAATGTGACAGTGTATGACAATATGACAATCTATATCAATGTGACAGTGTATGACAATGCATCTTAATATGACAGTGTATGAAAATATGACAATATATCTTAATGTGCCAGTGTATGAAAATATGAAAAATTATCTCAATGTGACAGTGTATGACAATATGACAATGTATCTGAATGTGACAGTGTATGACAATATGACAATGTATCTCAATGTGACAGTGTATGACAATGCATCTTAATGTGACAGTGTATGAAAATATGACAATATATCTTAATGTGCCAGTGTATGAAAATATGACAATATATCTGAATGTGCCAGTGTATGAAAATATGACAATATATCTTAATGTGCCAGTGTATGAAAATATGACAATATATCTTAATGTGCCAGTGTATGAAAATATGAAAAATTATCTCAATGTGACAGTGTATGACAAAATGACAATGTATCTCAATGTGACAGTGTATGACAATATGACAATGTATCTCAATGTGACAGTGTATGACAATATGAAACTTTATCTCAATGTGACAGTATATGACAATGTATCTCAATGTGATAGGGTATGATAATGTATCTCAATGTGACAGTGTATGACAATGCATCTCAATGTGATAGTGTATGACAATGTGACAATATATCTCAATGTGACAGTGTATGACAATGTGACACGATACATCCAACTTCACTAAAACAGGCCTCGACACATTCCTCGGGGAAATTCATCAAATCGGTAAACTCCAGAGGAGTAGCTAAAATTAGTGAGCCCCCCCCCCTCAAACTCACCTCATTTCCACACTTAAAAATGTTCTGAAGTTGGCTAGAAATTACGCCCCTCAAGAGACGCCCCTCGATATAAAAAAACACATAAAGTGACGCCAGGTTATAAACGCTCCATCAAAATCCCCCCATACTGCGCCACTGGTTAAGTCATGGTACAACTCTTCACATTGATGCGTCACGGTACGACTCTTCACATTGATTTCGTCATGGTACGACTCTTCACACTAATTTCGCCACGGTACGACTCTTCACATTGATTTCGTCATGGTACGACTCTTCACACTGATTTCGCCACGGTACGACTCTTCACATTGATTTCGTCATGGTACGACTCTTCACATTGATTTCGTCATGGTACGACTCTTCACATTGATTTCGCCACGGTACGACTCTTCACATTGATTTCGTCACGGTACGACTCTTCACATTGATTTCGTCATGGTACGACTCTTCACATTGATTTCGTCATGGTACGACTCTTCACATTGATTTCGCCACGGTACGACTCTTCACATTGTATTCGTCACGGTACAGTTCTTTATATTGGTATGGTCACGCAAGATTACTCTGATTACCTGTTGTATTGATTGGGGATTGGGTCAAGGTAGATTGTGTGATTGGTTGAGGCGTTAGTCTGGGGTTGTTGTTTTTTTTTTTTGTGTGCTGGGAAGGGCCATACTTCGTAGAATTTTTTGTAATTGGTTCGGGCATGAGGCTAGGTAGATTTTTCTTATTCTGTTTGGAATATGATAATGGGTAGATTTTGAGAGTAATGACAGTTAAGGTTGAATTATGATGAGTTGTTTACCGGGTGAGTGTGTGCCCTGTGTGTAGACCCTGGTTGGGTCAGGGCTATCTAGTCTCTTGTGTATCTGATATAAACATTAAGACATTTTTTGTATAATGCCAAACATACCCCTGTTGAATACTGATACCCCTGTTGCCTGCACATACCCCAGTAGACTGCACATACCCCTGTAGAATGCACGTACCCCTGTAGACTGCACATACCCCAGTAGACTGCACATACCCCTGTAGACTGCACGTACCCCTGTAGACTGCACATACCCCTGTAGACTGCACATACCCCTGTAGACTGCACATACACCTGTAGACTGCACATACCCCAGTAGACTGCACATACCCCTGTAGAATGCACACACCCCTGTAGACTGCACATACCCCTGTAGACTGCACATACCCCTGTAGAATGCACGTACCCCAGTAGACTGCACATACCCCAGTAAACTGCACATACCCCAGTAGACTGCACATACCCCTGTAGACTGCACATACCCATGTAGACTGCACGTACCCCTGTAGACTGCACGTACCCCTGTAGACTGCACATACCCCTGTAGAATGCACGTACCCCAGTAGACTGCACATACCCCAGTAGACTGCACATACCCCAGTAGAATGCACATACCCCTGTAGACTGCACATACCCCTGTAGACTGCACGTACCCCTGTAGACTGCACGTACCCCTGTAGACTGCACGTACCCCTGTAGACTGCACGTAACCCTGTAGACTGCACGTACCCATGTAAACTGCACGTACCCCTGTAGACTGCACGTAACCCTGTAGACTGCACATACCCCTGTAGACTGCACATACCCCAGTAGACTGCACGTACACCAGTAGACTGCACGTACCCCAGTAGACTGCACATACCCCAGTAGACTGCACATACCCCAGTAGACTGCACATACCCCTGTAGACTGCACGTACCCATGGAAGTCTTCTGTCATCTTGTAATTTTAATGAACATTTGCTTTTAAAAAAATCATCTGAAGACATTTGAATAGATGGCTTATGAGGAAATGTTCATTAAGTTTACAAATTGTTAAGCAACAGAAACACTTGTCTGAGATCTAGTGATGGATTTGAGAGTCTTGTAAATACCGCGCAGATGACTTCAATAAATATAATAAGACACTGGCCACTAGATGACCTCCTTGGTAAGCAAATGAGAACAAATTTGTACAAGATGTACTTTTCATAACTACCTTAAAACTAGTTTGAATATTTTAGACTTTAAAAAACGGAATATCTCCCTTCGCCAACTATAAACTGACAGGCAGTCGTAGTTTCTCATTGTATTTAGCCTCCCACCCGTACCCTAACCCCAACCCTAACCGCAACCCAACGCTAACCCCAGCCCAACCCCAACCCTAAACCAAACCCTAATCCCAAATTTAATTCTAAACCCAAACCTAACACGAACCCCAACCTCAACCCCGACCAAAATCCTAACCCTGAACCCAACCCTAACCCCAAAACGTTGCTAAGGAAATTTGTAAAAGAGGAAAAAACTCATTTTTCGTGATGAAGTTATTAAAAAAATGCTACATTAAACGATTTAATTAAGAAAATATAAAAATTAAATAAAAATAAATTGTTGGGAATTAGAAGATTACTAGTCAGGAATTATTTGACTGATTCCATGAGGTTATATGGCACAAAAATATTAATTAATTTATTTTAAATTTCTCTCTCTCCCACTAATTTTTGTACCAACTCAATGCCCCGATTCGATGTGAATTTATGTTTGTCTCCTTTAAAATAACACGAGACAAGGGACTGCTTGATTTTGTGCAATATCGTGAAGGCGTTCACTGACACTTTCAGATAATGCCCTTCCTTCCTCACCTATATAACAAGAATGACATCTTCGCCAAGCAACCACACAGATCACATCGTGACTGGTGCTTGTCAATGTTTCTCCTGCGCGTGCTAACATGACCAAGGTTACATTCAACGTGAGTACGCAAGTGGCTTGGGGGTCTTGTGAGTGTCTGGAAAGCTTTCCTGCACGTATCACAGGCGTGTTTTGGGGTCCTGGTTGGATTGCAGTCGATTCTGATTTTCTTAAAGATTTGTTGTGTTTGAACCAGTTCTTCCAACTTCCTTATCAATATAGGGGAACCAAGGGGTTTGCAAATAGGGTAGTTTAAAAACCTTGAGGTAATAGCCCTAACATAAGCTTTATTTTGATTAAAACGAGGGAGAGTTGGACAATTTGTCAACCTCACTCTCTCGTGCTTGCTTATTTGATGCGATGGCAAGACTTGGTTAAGACAACTGGAAAAAAAAAAAAAAAAAAAACAAAGCTTTATTTTGATTAAAACGAGGGAGAGTTGGACAATTTTTCAACCTCACTTTCTCTTGCTTGCTTATTTGATGCGATGGCAAGACTTGGTTAAGAAAAATGGAAAAAAAAAAAAAAAAAAAACAAGCATGCACTGGATGACCAGTTGTGTTTTTTGTGTTTCACTTGGCGCTTTACCTGTTCCAGGTAACTTCTGCCCCACCTCAGTTCCCATCCAGTGGATCACGCAAGAATCTCATTGCGTCCATGTACTGCCTTCACAAGCGAAGCAGACACATATCCTCAAGTTGTACCCATACCTTGCGGCATGATTGCGAGACATCGTGTCGGAGCAGTAGTTCTAGAATTATAAATTATATTGGATATGATGACGGATTAAAGCGCTGTTAAGTCTCATTTAAAGGCATCTCCTCCAATTGTGAAACAACTGGCAGCCCTGTAGGAGCTGTTTTATATACGGCAGGTACCGAGCACATCCCTTGTCTCCCCTCTCAGAACGCGCCCAGTAGTTGTGTTCCGCCGGTTATGTCGAGGGGGTCGGTGGCCGACGCCTCCTAATCGACATGCCACCACAGACTTGTGAACCGGAGCCCAAACTGTGACCTTATTCTAATTTTATAAATGCTAGGGACACCTGCACGGGCGAGTTACTAGATGTCTGGCACCTTGACTTATCATTGCTTGTTGGGTATTTTTTCTGACGCTCGTCTTGTGAAAGCGGCATAGCTTTCTTGTCTGGCGTTGTTAGGCCGTCCATGTTTCACTTGCTTAGAGTGGCGTAATGTTCAGTCTACACAATCAAATTATCGTCAAATTACTTTTTTTAACGCACTATTTTCTGTTACAACATGGCAAGTTCAAATTTTAAATTTGGCGCAAACTTGATCGTGTGAACTGAGCGTAAGGCTCAGAGCAGCCTTAGAGACTCACTGTCCCTACTTCAAAGACGGCGTACTGATGATATACAACATCACTAACTCAAAATAAGATAACATTTTGAAGATTAAACGATCGTAATATAGTATGTTGTATTAATTTTTATTTAAACTGCATATTAAATTTTTAAGTTATTTAATAAAGTAACATTTAATATAAACAGGAATGTTATTCAATATTCCCACAAAAATAGAGAATAATTATACAAACGGAAAAAAAAATATATATGTGACAAATCATGTACATCTCATCAATGGCCACTCATGTACATCTTATCATTTTACAACTCATGTACATCTCACCATTTGGCTTAAAACCATTGCGAACTTCTCAATACAAGTAGTTTTCATATGGACATTTCTCTTTAACAGATTTCAATGAATGTACAGTATGTGAATCTCAACTTGATGTTGAACTCACATGACTTAGAAGATGACCTCACATGACCTAGAAGATGACCTCGCATGACCCAGAGGATGACCTCACATGACCTGGAAGATGGCCTCATATGCCCTGGAAAATGATCTCACATGACCTGGAAGGTGCTGTGTTGGCGGAGCTGGTCGGCTTGGAGGATGCCTAGCATATTCGAGTGATCACGTGACTTAAGTCTCAGTGACGTCAGACTGTCATCTTGTTGATATTTCTCATAGCTACCTGGAAACAGAAGGAATACCTATGATTGTAAGGCTGTTACTGGGCTGTTCAATGTCTACTTATTGTTAGAAAAAAATACTAAAAATTTGAATGAATTCAGACTGAAAGAAATAGTAATGAAAAATTGAAGGCATTCGTTAACTTATCCTTTTTTTTGTATAGATTATGTGTTTTGAATTATTATATGATATCTGTGTTAATAAATTCCGTTATATGATGATTTTTCAAGAAGTGTATTGGTTAATAACTTTTTTTTTTTAAATGACATTTATGTTTTCATGGTTCAGTGAAATAATTGTTTCCTCAAATGGTCTCAAGTGGTGTGTCAATCCCATGGTACATTCAAATGATGTCACACTTAAATGTGACAATGTCAACATGGTTAAAGATTTTGAAAAAAGGTCTCAGTTCGAATGTCACTAATGTAACGTTCCCAATATTCAAATGTCACAATATTCAAGTGTCACAATATTCAACTGTCATAATATTCAAATGTCACAATATTCAAATGTCACAGTATTCAAATGTCACAATATTCAAATGTCACAGTATTCAAATGTCACAATATTCAAATGTCACAGTATTCGAATAAACAATATTCAAATGTCACAATATTCAAATGTCACAATATTCGTATGTCACAATATTCAAATGTCATAATATTCAAATGTCATAATATTCAAATGTCAGCATATTCAAATGTCACAATATTCAAATGTCACAGTATTCAAATGTCGCAATATTCAAATGTCACAGCATTCAAATGTCACAATATTCAAATGTCATAATATTCAAATGTCACAATATTCAAATGTCACAATATTCAAATGTCACAATATTCAAATGGCACAGTATTCAAATAACACAACAGTAAAAAGAATCAATATTGAAATATCACATTATTCAAATGAATCAATTTTCAAATGTCACAATATTCAAATATCACCCGATTTAAATGTCGCAATATTCCAATTGCGCACTATTCAAATGTCACCTTACTTGTATTAGGCATGAGTTGACTCCTGGACATATCGTACTGATAAGACGGTGGATGGAATGTATTGAGACTGGTCAGTTGAGAAGAGACTGCGGGCGACCAGTTGCTGGAGTAGGGCGTGCTTGACAAATTCGTGTATGTTGGTACCTGAGAGATACAATGAAATGTCACCAAATGATTTTTTTTTTAAATTTTAACGGCCATCGTGTTGCTGATGTGGATATGTGTGTGGAATGGTGGTAAAAGTTTGGGTCGTATGTTGGTGAATTATTGAATGTGCCTGGATGAGTGTAGTTTGCTCGGTGATTGTATGTGGGCCAGTAGTTTGTTTTGTGGTCATGTGGTTGCGAGTTGGTCCATGTGTGGGGCGAAAGTGTTAGTCGGTGTTATAAGAAGAGAAATCTCTCAGTGTGGCAAATTATAACTTCCAGACACGTGTAACAGCCAGCCGACTTAAGAGTACGGGCGTTACACCCCCCTCCCCCACCCAAATTCCCCCACCCACGTCCCCCAGTCCCCTCCCCACCCACGTCGTCTCAGCAGGGCAAGTTTCAATTATCAAAGGGCTAGAACCCAATTTTCCTTGCTTTATTCTTCTCCCCTGCGTTATCCTCTTATGAAGCAATGGGGGGGGTGGGGGGCCCAGGTCGATCGGTATTTTTTGAAGCTGAATGTTAAAAATGATTCCTTGATAGAAGAGTGACTATAAGCTCAGGGAGTGTCTGGTGGAGTTAATGGAAGAAGGTGAACGAGAGGGGGGGGGGGGGGGGGCCCAGGTCGATCGGTATTTTTTGAAGCTGAATGTTAAAAATGATTCCTTGATAGAAGAGTGACTACAAGCTCAGGGAGTGTCTGGTGGAGTTAATGGAAGAAGGTGAACGAGTTCAAAGAGAGAGGGAGACGGACGGATGGGGATACAGTACATAGAGTAATATATACGTCATCGCTTGCACACATAGCCTTTCTTCCTCTCTCTTTATACATATTCTTCTTCTTCTAAATTTTGAGGGCCCCACGATCAATGAATGGATCCCTCTGGCTCTTATATTTCACAGGGGTTCGCGATGTTACTGTTAAGGTTTTGAAGGGGATAGTTCACTGGTTGCAAGGGCTGCTCAGCAGTAGTATTATGAAGTGGTGGTTGGAAGACAGGAGGCAATATTCTATTTTCCCCCGCACTTTACTCTCTTTCTACGTCTCTTTCTCTCCCCTCCTCTCTCTTTCTCTCTCTTCATGCATATCATGAAAAGAATTGTAGAGGACTATCTTGAAATATGATAAAAGGCTCAAATAACCTTCTATAACTCGTCCGGTGATTAAGTATTGACAGAATGCTTTATTAAATGGTATCTGTTTTTCTTAAATTATACCTATAGAAAGTGAGTCCTCGATTATTCTTATGGAGTTCTTCAGTATTCGCGATGCATTCTAGTGTGTCCCCTAGATTTGGGCATTCGAGTGTGTGCCCTGTGTAAGATCATTCAAGTGTGTCCACTAGATTTGGGAATTCGAGTGTGTGCCCTGTGTAAGGCCATTCAAGTGTGCCCCCCCCTACACTTTGGCATTCGAGTTTGTGCCCTGTAAGAATGGTATTCAAGTATGTCCCCTACATTGTGACATACAACAGTGTTCCCAGGATTGGGGCAATCAAGTGTGTCCCTGGGTCATGGAACTCAAGTGTGTCCCTGGGTCATGGAACTCAAGTGTGTCCCTGGGTCATGGAACTCAAGTGTGTCCCTGGGTCATGGCACTCAAGTGTGTCCCTGGGTCATGGAACTCAAGTGTGTCCCTGGGTCATGGAACTCAAGTGTGTCCCTGGGTCATGGAACTCAAGTGTGTTCCTGGGTAATGGCACTCAAGTATGCCCCTGGGTCATTGCACTCAAGTGTGTCCCTGGGTCATGACACTCAAGTGTGTCCCTGGGTCATGACACTCAAGTGTGTCCCTGGGTCATGGAACTCAAGTGTGTCCCTGGGTCATGGGACTCTAGCGTTTCCCTGGGTCATGGCACTCAAGTGTGTCCCTTGTATTACGACATTCAAGTTTGTCACTTACATTAGGACGTTTGATATTTTTTTTGTAAAGTAAACAATTTTTTATCCGGCTCTCCGATTTTGCGTGTTCCCTCATGTGGCGCCCTCGGCCCATACCGTTTCTGGCCACACCCTAGATGCGCCGTCCTTCAAGTTGCCCCCCCCCGGCACATGCCGTGTATTGCCCCACCCTCAGTGCGACTACCTTCAAGTGACGCCCTCAGCGCATAGCGCGTCTCGCTTCATCCTCTCACATCTGTAACCATTAGCCAATCCACCCTTTGATCAGCTAAAAGAAAATATTTTGCACAAGGTATTTAAAAACTTGAAAACATGTCGCAACAAAACTACAAACATGTCGGCCAGACGCCTTCGTCAGCGTACAGTACAAAGAGTGCTGCCTTTTGCTGGCTGTTGTCTGGGATATTGCGTCCCTTTTTTCAGGCTTTCCTTTACCTTGTACCCGGTAGTACACAAATTTCCTGATTAAATTATGCAGCCCCCCCCCCCTTTACAATCCCCCACTTTAAAAGAAAACTATATTGCTACCAGCTAGTAATCTAGTTCTACTCTAAGCTATTCAGATTTGTCGATTGGTTTCACCCATAAACCTAGCGTTAACGTTTAATACAGGCGAGCTATACTTAAATAGCCAGATTGACTTGAATGACCTATATGACGTGAATGATCTGATTGACTTGTATGACATGATAATAACATGATTGACATAAATGACCTGATTTACTTGACTGTGGTGTTTGACGTGAATGACCTGAGTGCCATACGTGACCTATTTGACATGAATGATCCGTGTGACAAGAATGTCATGTTTGACATAAATGACGAGAATGATAGGAATCACCTGATTGACTGCATGGGACAGATAGGAATCCATGAGACCGTTGTAGGCTACGTCCGATTTGAATGTTGGTGGGAACGCTTGGTGTAATGACGTCAGCTGCGGCCTGTGTTGCCAGAAAGTGTCTAGAGACGATAGGAAATAGAACATATATAAAATAGAACATATAGAAATATGAATATATATTAAAAAAGAAAAAATAGAATATAAAGAACATATAAACTATATAGATATGAAAACAAACGGTCAATACAAAATACAGCACAGCGTCGATTTCCCGAACTCATTTGGGACAGTGGTTGATTCGGATAACTGAAGAAGAAACCCTTCCACGGAGAGGTTGCGTTAGAAGAAAGAAGTGCATAGCATGCAGTGTATTCACGTCGTGTACTTTGTTTTATGTACAATGCTACATGTACACCAATCATCAATTGTATATCGTGACCAGGTGGTTTGTTTACGAAAATCTTTAGGATCTGAATTTCTTTCTACGAGAAGAGAGCGTTTCCAAAAATAGATGACCGGCGCTTGGGTTTAAACCCGAGGTCAGGTCGTCTTTGCAGGCGTGTGTACCGTGCCAACTGTCAATCAACAAGTCGGCAGATTGCATTATCTCAGGCTGATGACTGCACATGCAATACAGATTTTAACAAAAATTGTGTAGACTGAGGTCGGAATCGTTTGATGGTGATTGTTATATGCAAGTGCGTCGTGACATGCTCATCATGTTCAGTAACAGTTACTTTGAAAATTGATGGTTGTTTACTTTATTATCGGCATTATGAAAAATGGATTCTCTAATATACGTGTATGTCCTCAGAAAAGGTCACACATATGTAAATCCCTACAAATCAATATGTGACTGACCTGCCGGAGGGGACAGCGCGTAGTTGGAGTCGCTGAACATAAACGCTGATGCCGGAGCCGAAGGCGTGGGCTGGAGTAGGGTCTGGGACTGCAGTGCCGCCCCCGTGGCCGCGCCCATGTGAAGATGCTCGGCGTGCGTCGAGGGCTGCATGGGCGCCGAGCTTGTCATCGGGTGGACGTTGTGAGATGGGGGTGGCGGCACCTGGAGGAACGAGTTGATGGCCGACAGCTGGTTACTTCCTACCTGCTTGCGCCACCTGGCCCGCCGGTTGCTGAACCACACCTGGGGAACAGGCGAAACATAGGGCAGTGACGTACATGGGGGGATTTTTGTTGACAGCATGATTTTCATGTTGGTTATCGGGATAAATGTGACGGAATTTATGGGGCGGATAGAGGGATTTATGTGACTGATATGAGTGATTTATGTGACTGATAGAGGGATTTATGTGACTGATATGAGTGATTTATGTGACTGATAAAGGGATTTATGTGACTGATATGAGTGATTTATGTGACCGATAGAGGGATTTATGTAACTGATATGAGTGATTTATGTGACCGATAGAGGGATTTATGTAACTGATAGAGAGATTTATGTGACTGATATGAGTGATTTATGTGACTGATAGAGGGATTTATGTGACTGATAGAGGGATTTATGTGACTGATATGAGTGATTTATGTGACCGATAGAGGGATTTATGTAACTGATAGAGAGATTTATGTGACTGATATGAGTGATTTATGTGACTGATAGAGGGATTTATGTGACTGATAGAGGGATTTATGTGACTGATATGAGTGATTTATGTGACTGATAGAGGGATTTATGTGACTGATAGAGGGATTTATGTGACTGATATGAGTGATTTATGTGACCGATAGAGGGATTTATGTAACTGATAGAGAGATTTATGTAACTGATAGAGGGATTTATGTAACTGATAGAGAGATTTATGTGACTGATAGAGGGATTTATGTGACTGATAGAGGGATTTATGTAACTGATAGAGGGATTTATGTAACTGATAGAGGGATTTATGTGACTGATATGAGTGATTTATGTGACTGATAGAGGGATTTATGTGACTGATATGAGTGATTTATGTGACTGATAGAGGGATTTATGTGACTGATATGAGTGATTTATGTAACTGATAGAGGGATTTATGTAACTGATAGAGGGATTTATGTGACTGATATGAGTGATTTATGTGACTGACAGAGGGATTTATGTAACTGATAGAGAGATTTATGTAACTGATAGAGGGATTTATGTAACTGATAGAGAGATTTATGTGACTGATAGAGGGATTTATGTGAGTGATAGAGGGATTTATATGACTGATATGAGTGATTTATGGGACTGATAGAGGGATTTATGTGACTGATAGAGGGATTTATGTGACTGATTGAGGGATTTATGTGACTGATGTGAGTGATTTATGTGACTGATAGGGGGATTTATGTGACTGATAGAGGGATTTATATGACTGATATGAGTGATTTATGTGACTGATAGAGGGATTTATGTGACTGATAGAGGGATTTACATGACTGATAGAGGGATTTATGTGACTGATAGAGGGATTTATGTGACTGATAGAGGGATTTATGTGACTGATAGAGGGATTTATGTGACTGCTTTGAGTGATTTATGTGACTGATAGAGAGATTTATGTGACTGATAGAGGGATTTATGTATCTGATAGAGATTTATGTGACTGATAGAGGGATTTATGTGACTGATATGAGTGATTTATGTGACTGATAGAGAGATTTATGTGACTGATAGAGAGATTTATGTGACTGATAGAGGGATTTATGTGACTGATATGAGTGATTTATGTGACTGATAGAGAGATTTATGTAACTGATAGAGATTTATGTGACTGATAGAGGGATGTATGTGACTGATATGAGTGATTTATGTGACTGATAGAGAGATTTATGTGACTGATAGAGGGATTTATGTAACTGATAGAGAGATTTATGTAACTGATAGAGGGATTTATGTAACTGATAGAGAGATTTATGTGACTGATAAAGGGATTTATGTAACTGATAGAGGGATTTATGTAACTGATAGAGGGATTTATGTGAGTGATATAGGGATTTATATGACTGATATGAGTGATTTATGTGACTGATAGAGGGATTTATGTGACTGATAGAGGGATTTATATGACTGATATGAGTGATTTATGTGACTGATAGAGGGATTTATGTAACTGATAGAGAGATTTATGTAACTGATAGAGAGATTTATGTAACTGATAGAGGGATTTATGTAACTGATAGAGGGATTTATGTAACTGATAGAGGGATTTATGTGAGTGATAGAGGGATTTATTTGACTGATATGAGTGATTTATGTGATTGATAGAGGGATTTATGTGACTGATAGAGGGATTTATGTGACTGATAGAGGGTATATGTAACTGATGTGAGTGATTTATGTGACTGATATGAGTGATTTATGTGACTGATTGAGGGATTTATGTGACTGATGAGTGATTTATGTGACTGATATGAGGGATTTATGTGACTGATATGAGGGATTTATGTGACTGATATGAGTGATTTATGTGACTGATATGAGTGATTTATGTGACTGATATGAGGGATTTATGTGACTGATAGAGAGATTTATGTGACAGAGGGATTTATGTGACTGATAGAGGGATGTATGTGACTGATAGAGGGTATTATGTGACTGATAGAGGGATTTATGTGACTGATAGAGGGATTTATGTGACAGAGGGATTTATGTTACTGATAGAGGGATTTATGTCACTGATAGAGGGATTTATGAAACTCATATAAATGATTTATGTGACTGATAGAGAGATTTATGAAACTCATATAAATGATTGATGTGACTGATAAAGTGATTTATGAAACTCATATAAATGATTATGTGACCGATAGAGAGATTTATGTGACTGATATGAGTTATTTATGTGACTGATGTGAGTTATTTATGTGACTGATATGAGTGATTTATGTGACTGATAGAGGGATTTATGAAACTCATATAAATGATTTATGTGACCGATAGAGGGATTTATGACACTGATATAAATGATTTATGTGACTGATATGAGGGATTTATGACACTGATATAAATGATTTATGTGACTAATAGAGAGATTTATGTGACTGATGAGTGATTTATGTGACTGATAGAGAGATTTATGTGACTGATGAGTGATTTATGTGACTTATATGAGTGATTTATGTGTCTGATAGAGGGATGTATGTGACTGATATGAGGGATTTATGAAACTCATATAAATGATTTATGTGACCGATAGAGAGATTTATGACACTGATATAAATGATTTATGTGACCGATAGAGAGATTTATGACACTGATATAAATGAATTATGTGACTGATAGAGAGATTTATGTGACTGATAGAGAGATTTATGTGACTGATAGAGAGATTTATGTGAATATTGGATGAAAGAAAAAATATAATTAAACCTTGTTAGAGCATGTTAAACCATACGACCTCCCCAATACTGCCTTATGTCGTCACGTGTTAGAGGAAATTTAACATGACCTTCCGCACCTAAAGGTGGATAGAGGGACAAGAATTTTGGCATGTATTTTTTGCGTGACAAATTTGTGACCAAGTGGACGTGTGTGGGAGGGGGGAGAGAGAGGGGGGAGTCCACATTATTCTAAACAGCGCGGCGTCATTTCTGGATGGCCGCCGTTACCTGGACTCTGGCCTCTGTCAGCTTGGTCCTCTGCGCCAGCTCCTCCCGCGTGTAGATGTCGGGGTAGTGAGTCCTCTCGAAGGCTCGCTCCAGGTCCTCCAGCTGCTCGCTGGTGAACGACGTCCGGCTCCGCCTCTGCTTACGCTTGAGTTCAAGGCCGGGCTCGGAATCGCAGTCGGAGAGATCTGTTACGTAGAAATAGTGGGTTTCGGTTAAAGAAATGTGACTAAGTCAAGTCTAGCGTTATTTCCGTATGGAAGAGTTGTGCCCTTATTCGGTATGACGTCAACTGTCAATTGGTGTTGGGAACTAGATTGAGGGGCGTGAATTTTTCGTATGGAAAAGGTGTTTGGTGTTGAGAGTATGTGTGTAGCTGTTTCTATGTGCTTGGTATCTTGTGACGTATTTGGGCACGGAAAATACGCTGTAATGGTTTTATAAGTTATGGTTTTGGATAGCAGGGATGGGGACATTTTATAATGGCGGGTTAGAATTTCAGAGTTTTTTTGTTTGATAAAGAAACATTTGACAAGTCATTATGACTATTGGTATACTTACTCTATTTCTCTATGCGTCTTACTTTTTATCCTTGCCTTTCTCTCTCCAGCTTCATTTTCATCTCTCTCTTTTTCTGTCTTTCTGTCTCTCTCTCTCTTTTTCTGTATTTCTGTCTCTCTCTCTCTCTCTCTCTTTTTCTGTCTCTCTCCCTCTCTATTTCTGTCTCTCTCTCTCTTTTCTTCCTTTCTGTCTCTCTCTAACTTCTTCTGTTTCTCTCTGTCTCTATCTCTTTTTGTCTCTTTCTCTCTGTCTGTGTGTTTCCGTATGTCTGTCTGTTTTTATCGAGCTCTTTCCTTCCCCTTTTCTCTCTATCAACACTTACCATGTGTGCATATTTTTCTGTATCCACGCACATTTAAGAACATACTTATTTTTTTAAATCTCTTTGTTTGTTTGCAAACTCTAGAAACTTTTCATAAATTTAATCAATTTCCTTCAGCATATTTTTTGGTCGACCCAGGCGCAAAAAATCTGTGACATTAGACTCCTAAACTTTACGCTCTCGATCCACGTTCTCTCGTTGCGTTTCCCCTCCGTGTACAGACACCTGACGCCACTGCGTCCATCGTGCGTGACAGAGAATTCAGGAGCTAATGAAATCGTTAAAGTCAACCCCCGCATCTTTTTTTTTCCATATAGGCCGGGACAACAAGACTTGAGAATTAAAGCTTTGGAGTCACGTCGAGACGTTCAAAAAGTGGCACTCCGCACTCCTCGTGTTTCAAAGCGGAGCTTACACATCAGGGGAGCCAAACAATCTGGATAAAGTCAAACGACATAAAACTTCCCCCCCCCCTGTCATCACCCTGGCAAATCGCCCATAGCTGCACGCTGGTCTCGCTTCGAGGTGTCCATTATGTTGCACTTTGCAGAAGCGGCTCATTCTGCGGTCGGGTGACCAGGGAGCCAAACAATCTGGATAAAGTCAAACGACATAAAACTTCCCCCCCCCCCTGTCATCACCCTGGCAAATCGCCCATAGCTGCACGCTGGTCTCGCTTCGAGGTGTCCATTATGTTGCACTTTGCCGAAGCGGCTCATTCTGCGGTCGGGTGACAGCCGATGTATCATAGAGAAAGAAGTGGCGGCGCTGGAGTCAGGGGACAATTTACCACGGCCTGAAAAGAACGCATTGACAAGGCTTCGGCGAAATGGAGTGACGGACAAATTTAATTCGGATTTCTCGGGTTATTGTCGCGCGTAGACGGCGGTGGAGGGCTTCAATTTATTGGTCAATGTTTTTGTATTCAATAAAACCGACAGACGAAAAAGATCCTAGTGATCGACTGGAGACCGCATTCAGCGAATCGTCTTAATGGCCCGCGGTATCATGTTCCTCCCGTAGCGTAGTCCGGGCCCCGACGAACATAATCAGGCTTTGAGATGTTCCGGTGCGTGTAATTCGTCGGACTCTCCCCCACGCGTGAAACGAATTGCTCGAGCATCTCTTCTGCTCTCAACCGTGACGAATGACAACAAGCTACAAGTCTGTTTCCTCTAATGATGCGGATGTATGAGTGTGTGTTGTGGGGAATGAAAGTGGGGGGGGGGGGGCTTAACAAAGTTCTCGAAAATATATTATTAATTAAACTATATTTTGAAAAGTTATTTGAATTCATTTCGTCTATTAGATTTACTTATATTTATCAAAAGCAGGGTAACCATTTTTTTTATTCCACGCGCGGCCACACCCCAAGGTCTTTCCGAGTATTCCGCGGCACAAAGCCAGAACAAACATGTTCAAATATTGGCGTAAAGCGTTAAAATAAGACAGAGGAAATGTGCAATTAAATATCAGAATGTACTTAATGTGCCTAGTGCTAAAAGGTAATCTATTACACTGTCGTGTGCCATATTTAGTGTCTGCAGTCGATACACTTCTGTTGCCGCATTAAGTGTCTTCAGTCGACACACTTCTGTTGCCGTATTTAGTGTCTGCAGTCGACACACTTCTGTTGCCGCATTAAGTGTCTTCAGTCGACATACTTCTGTTGTCGCATTAAGTGTCTGCAGTAGACACACTTCTGTTGCCGCATTAAGTGTCTGCAGTCGACACACTTCTCTTGCCGCATTAAGTGTCTGCAGTCGACACACTTCCGTTGCCGCATTGTTTGACGGTTCAGCTGTTGGGTTCACGAGTAGTGGCTGATTGGACAGACGATAGACCACAACAAATCTGCGGGTCATCCTAAGAATTCCCATTTAAATACTTTTTGGGTCTCAGTAACCAAATAGTTCTAATAATTTAGCAATACTTATCCAATTAGAAATAATAATGAGACAATAATTATCCCATTAGAACAAACAATTTAAAAAAATCCTAAACCAATTAAACAATCACTTATAATTAACATATGTATGTATTTGTCAATCTTTCATATGAAAATAACTTGACGAAATGATTCTGACTTCATCCGGATTTATCAAAAATAATTAGATGAATTTTAAAAAAGTAATGGCGGTTACTCCACGTCATATATATGACTGGCTTAAGGGTTTGAACATACCTCTTTTAGGCCGTGTTAAATATAGACGGGTTGAATCACTTGGACCGGGTTGTATTAAGTTGACCGGGTTGTATTAAGTTGACCGGGTTGTATTAAGTTGACCGGGTTGTATTAAGTTGACCGGGTTGTATTAAGATGACCGGGTTGCATTAAGTTGCCCAGGTTGTATTAAGTTCACCGGGTTGCATTAAGTTCACCGGGTTGTATTAAGTTGACCGGGTTGTATTAAGTACCGGGTTGTATTAAGTTGACCGGGTTGCATTAAGTTGACCGGCTGGTATTAATGTGACCGGGTTGTATTAAGTACCGGGTTGTATTAAGTTGACCGGGTTGCATTAAGTTGACCGGCTGGTATTAAGTTGACTGGGTTGTATTAAGTTGACCGGGTTGTATTAAGTTGACCGGGTTGCATTAAGTTGACCTTGTTGTATTAAGTTGACCGGGTTACATTAAGTTGACCGGGTTGTATTAAGTTGACCGGGTTGTATTAAGTTGACCGGGTTGACACACTGACTGGGCAAGACTTCTGCCAAACACTCTGTGTTTTCCGAAAATGAGACCCCTTAATATAAAGAAGTAAGGGCCACCCCGGTCCGACCCCTCTACACCCAATTCTTCCGCCACTGACTTAGGGTGTGAAGTCCAATCGGAGGGCTATATTTGATGATACCATTGTGATGGGCGGGACACCTGTGTGGTCTTATTGGGCATTACTAGCTCTGTATATTGAGATGATTCGTAACCCCTACCCACTCCCTTATCTCCCAGTTTACTACAAGCTTAACCCGTCGACGGGTACACACACTAGTACGAGGAACACAATGATACCAACCCACACACCACTACCAGCCCATATTTCTCTACCATCCTACACACCACTACCAGCCCATATTTCTCTACCATCCAAAACACCATTACCGGTCCATACTTCTCTACCATCCCACACACCAATACCAGCCCATATTTCTCTACCATCCCAGACAACACTACCAATCCATACTTCTCTACCATCCACCACATAGCCCTACCAGCCCATATTTCTCTACCATCCACCACAACCACTTCCAGCCCATACTTCTCAACCATACCACACGCCACTACCAGCCCATACTTCTATACCATCCCCAACACACCACTGCCAGCCCATCTTTGAGACTTCTTTAACACCCGCCCCTACTCACCATCTTTGATACTCCCGAAGCCTCCGAACCCATTCTCGTCTCTTCGTTCGTCACCAACGACTCCCATATTATGGAGGCCGCTGTCCCCATCGTCTCCCCTGGAGCATCGGGACCTCAGAACTCTGGATACGGACCTGACGCTGGGTACAGAGCTGTGATCACCACCGCCCTCCTTAAAATAGAGATCAAATGCGTTGTTTGTGTTACTATTAAAATACATGACACATGCATCGAGGTTGTTACAAGTAAAAACATAACTTTCGCATTGTAGTTTTTACGCATCGTTACAAATTCATGATACCCCTGCCCCTTCTTTCGTGACGTCTTTTTTAGGGATGGCCCCTTAAGTAACAGTTATGACGTCAGTGTCTATACTCACGATCCTGGTGTCCACCTTGTCAAGCTTGTCTCGTATTTCCCAACTGAAGACCCCGTGATTTTCTCGTTTATAGTCTTCTATGCGACCCTCCGCCTCCGGTGTTGCCACTCTTGGCTTGCTCCCACCAATCACGCCAGGACGTATGCTGCCGGTTTCTTGATAGCGTTGCAGTATCTTGGACACACAGCTGAAAATGTGAGTAGATGCAACATTACCTCAGATGAATGTATAACTGTAATGTTAATTCAATGTCTCTGACCAGTGTATCATTGTATTGTTTAACCATTACCTCCGGCCGGAGTATCTTTCTTAAACCCGTACCTCATGCCGGTGTATGTTTGTTAAACCAATATACCAGACCGGCGTATGTTTGTTAAATCAATACCTAAGTCCAGTGTATGTTCTTTAAACAATACCTTAGGCCAGTGTATTTTTTAAACCAATACCTAATACCGGTGTTTGTTTCTTAAGCATTACCTCAGAACGGAGTATGTTTGTTAAACAAATACCTCAGACTGGTGTTTGTTTGTAAAAAAAATACACCAGACCGGTGTATGTTTGTTAAACAATACCTCAGGCCAGTGTATGTCTGTTAAACCAATACCTCAAACCGATGTATGTCTGTTCAACCAATACCTCAGACCTGTGTTTGTTTGTTAAAACAATACCTCAGACCTGTGTTTGTTTGTTAAAACAATACCTCAGACCTGTGTTTGTTTGTTAAACCAATACCTCAGACCGCAGTATGTTCGTTAAACCAATACCTCAGACCGATGTATGTCTGTTCAACCAATACCTCAGACCTGTGTTTGTTTGTTAAAACAATACCTCAGACCTCAGTATGTTTGTTAAACCAATACCTCAGACCTGTGTTTGTTCGTTAAACCAATACCTCAGACCGCAGTATGTTCGTTAAACCAATACCTCAGACCTGTGTTTGTTCGTTAAACCAATACCTCAGACCGCAGTATGTTCGTTAAACCAATACCTCAGACCGCAGTATGTTTGTTAAACCAATACCTAATATCAAAATATTGTTGTAAATGTAAACGTTCCATGTTTTTCTTTAAGGCAGCGTCTCTGATATCTTTTTTTTTTCTACTTCCCCTTTGTAACATGGACGTGTTTGCCCCCCCCCCCCACCTCTTCCCCGGTCCCATAGGGGAGGGGAGCCAATCTCCTTAGAATTTGGTCAGTTCTGTGGCTCATAATATGGGTATTTTATTCGAGATTTCAATATGAAAATTAGTAAAAACAAAAAAAAATGTCTTTTTCTTTTTCATCAAGAAAAATTTCTTAGAACATTGTTGCCAATCAATAATAATATTTCAAAGAAAAACGATTAGAATTAGGGTTAATAATACCCCAATAGTTCTACAGATTTTCCAGAAAAATACAAATATCAAATCCAATGATTGTTCAGTAGAAATTGATATCAAAAGGCCTATATTTATTTAATTAATTTTTTAAATTTAAATTCCATCTTCAGGTTGGTATGGCTTTGTGGTAAAAAAATTTTTTTTATCAATTCCCAACATAAACCAGCACCAAGCATAAAACAGCACCCAGCACAAGCCAGCACCCAGCATCAAGCATAACTCAGGATCACGCATAACCCAGCACCCTCTACCCGGCACAACCCAGCACCAAGCATAACCAAACACCCAGCACCAACCATAACCCAGCACCCAGCACAACCCAGCACTGAGCACCAAGCATAACCCAGCACCAAGCATAACCCAGCACCCAGCACAACCCAGCACCAAGCACAACCCAACACCCAGCACCAAGCACAACCCAGCACCCAGCACAACCCAGCACGCAGCACCAAGCACCACCCAGCAAGCACCAACCAGCACCCAGCACCCAGCACAACCCAGCACCCAGCATAACCCAGCACCCAGCACCAAGCATAACCCAGCACCCAGCACAACCCAGCACCGAGCACCAACCATAACCCAGCACCAAGCATAACCCAGCACCAAGCATAACCCAGCACCAAGCATAACCCAGCACCAAGCATAACCCAGCACTCAGCACCAAGCATAAGCCAGCACTCAGCACCAAGCATATCCCAGCACTCAGCACCAAGTCTAACCCAGCACTAAGCACCAAGCATAACCCAGCAACAAGCATAACCCATAAGCTAGCACAAAGCATAACTCAGCACCAAGCATAACCCAGCACTCAGCACCAAGCATAACACAACACTAAGCACCAAGCATAACCCAGCACTCAACACCAAGCATAGCCAAGCACCAAGCGTAACCCAGCACCAAGCATAACCCAGCACCCAGCACAAAGCATAAACCAGCACAAAGCAACAAGCATTTACCAGCATCCAGCCAAGTAAAATCAACACAATCGACTGACTAGGGCGGGCCTGCAAGAGCATACGGCTCGAGGTTAAGGACTTGAATGTATTGTGTGATTGCGTGTTGTTTAGAGAGTATTTGGGTAGATGTTGTTATTAAATGTTTGATATTTTGTGACGTATGGCGCGAAAAGGGATGTGACGTAGATTATTGTGTCAGGTGATCTTGTGAACAATGGCAGTCGAAGATGTGCCTTAGTTATGTAATCAAGATATTTAATATGAGAAGAATGGTTTGTGAAGTGTATCTATAATTTAATCCCTAGACAACGAGCCAACGAACAAAAAATGCTTGGTCATAAGATTTAGTTTCATTGAGAGCCCCTCCCTATAATGCGTACGGAATAAAAGTTAACCCCCTCCCCCCACTCCCCTATGTTTCAAGCGTAATGTTTTCGCCCCCCCCCCCCTTTTTTTAAATTTTAATACAATGAGCTTTCGACCCCGCCCCCTCCCCCTCTTTCCGGAAAAAAAAATCATCAAAAAAAATCAAATCATCGTTATTTAATCACTAGCCAATATACCGGTGTAGCCTGGGGCTGCCTCCCGATCCCATATTTAATCGTTTGGGATCATGACCTCATTGGTATCCCGACCCCATTTGGATATCGACCCCGATTGGGATCTGTATCCCTGAATGGATCCCAATATACCAATGTACCCGGTGTAGCCCGGGACTGCCTTCCGATCCAATATTTAACCATTTGAGATCCCGACCCCATTTGGGATCCCGACCCCAAAAATGTTCTCATTGGGATCCGACCCCAAAAAGGTTCTCATTGTAATCCCAACCCCATTGGGAACTCGGCCCCTTTGAGATCCCTTTTCCAAATGGGATCCCATATCCTAATGGGATCCCGACCCCTGTGAGATCCAAACCGAATTGAAATCCCAATGGGATCCAATTTCAAAGTAGGATACAATTTCAATTTTTTTCCCTTTTTCCGGTGGGATCCCGATCCCGTAAGGATCCCGTTAGGATCCCGTTTCTCGGTTGGATCCTCTTCTCCGATTGATCCCGTTTGCCGTAGGACGCCAAGTTGATCCCGTCACTCAATGGGATCGAGTTACCGGTGGGTTCCAGTTTAATCATTCATCTTTAGGATCCTCTTCCCCTTTGGGATAATGCTCCCATTTGGGCTTTTGTTCCTGGCAGGATTATGAAGGGTCTAGAAAGTATAGAACAAAACTATCATTTCAGTAAACTTTTAGATTCCATTAAATATCCCCGTAGAGCAAAATATACTTAATAGAACATTCTAAATTAAAATTAATCTCGTCCTCGACTGAATAAAATATAATTTACTGAGTAATTATTTTTCGAAAAATAAAAATTATACATTTAAATATAATGACAATACATTTAAGTTGAAAGAGGGGCCCCCGTGAGATGCATAAGATGGGGCCCTATAAAAATCATTAGGATAAATTATGGAGTTAATATTTAAAATGTGTCCCATTGCAATCTATTTAAAATGCCATAGATATAGCTCTTTTGAACTATCGAACTTTCTGGAAAGTTCTAGTTTGGATATTCTCAGTTTTTAATCCGCCGATACTTCAGTACGGACTCAGAAGGGTATTGCTACACAGCTAGGTCTACATCCACCAATTCACATAGACCTTATAGTGTTGTCTACGCCTATTGATATTTATATAGCTTATTCAAGGAAAACTGAAATGGGGCCCCCCGGCCCCAGCCGAATGGATATTAGGAAATCAGTACCCTTTGGTATTTGAATATCGATAATCAAGTTTGTGTGTACTAAGTTTAGTCAAGATCCAACAATCCATTTAAAAGCCTTTGTGGAAAATATCCAGAAACCCACAGACAAACAAATTTTCTATAATACATTTATGCACGATGAAGTTACAATCAATAAATTGTGACAAGGGTTTTTCGCGATGGCTGTTCGGCGAGCTCCGTGGTTTACAAAATATATGGCACATCGCCCTATGTGCTCATTGCCCTCGGAGCGGGACATGAGAATGGAACACAGAGTAAAAATCGGTGGGGGGTGGGGGGGGTGGGGCTAATCAGGGGGTGGGTGCCAAAATCGTCATTAGATACACCTTAACAGTGAATTCAGCAAAACGTTCCATTTACCTCAAAAAAAGACAAGGGGCGCTGAAACACATTTTCTGTATAGGTTGTCACGGCAACCTCAAAGGAGTCTTGACAAAATACTACACAATGTAGCCCATTTGACTAACTAGCGTTTGCAGCTGCTAGGTGGCGCTTATTGACCTACATTCGTGTTATATTTACCCAATCCTTAATTTTGTTTTCTTTATGTATTCGCAATTTTGAATTTAACACAGGGAGCCTGGTGAAAAAAAAAATAAATTTGGCAATGACCGCGGACACGAAAAATCTAGGAACCACTGATTTAGTCCAACACAATATACGTCCCAAGCACGATGAACACACGATGGACAAAATATTACCGTAATACCTCCACTAGTGTGTAACATCTGAGTATATCTAGCGAGATCAGTAGTGAAAACGTAAGGCAACATTATGACTATAATTCCTACAAAACATGGCGTGAAATGCGTACGACATTCCAGATATTCATAGGCTATCTTTGGACTTTCAGAGTTTCAAGATGGTCAAGTTTCAAGAATTTTAAAAGTAAATATACGTACTTTCTGCCCCCACCCCACCCCCCGGATGTCATACACACGCGTACGCAATATCTCCAAAATTGACAATCCCCCTCACCCCTAAGTACATATAAATGGCCCCTTGACAAAAATAAGAAATAATAAAAATATTTAGTCTTGGTATTATTTTTCCTTTTCCAATATTAATTTAGTTACCTGGACAAAATCAACAGTTGGTCTCGGTTGTGGGGGATAGAGAGCGAGGGGGGGGGGACTTTGTTCCAACTAACTCAGATTGAAAGCAGCTTCTTTTTTTTTTCCCTCGTGCGTAGACGCCCCTGCTTTTTGACCCACTAAAAATTGGTCTCGCTTACTCTTGCCTTTAAGTAGCATAAAACACATTGGAATGTCCAGACTGTTTTTTTTTTTAATTTAAGAAAAGCATTTTGTTCTTAGAGAAATGTAAAGAAATCAAACAGAACGGCTGAGCGTCCTCCCCAGAGGGTATTTGATAAATATATAGTGCATGCAGCCATGCATTTTGGCGCATTCTTGAAATTTAATTTAATTTGTTTAGCTTTCCAACCTTAATTGGAGAGCAGCAAAAGGGATATCAGTGGACAGAAAACGCTAATCCCTGTACAATGCTGGCCCAGATACACGCTAGAGATACAACGCTAGTCCAGACACAACGCTAGTCCAGATACAGCGATAGTTTCTGTTATTTTTGTGTTTCATAGGGAAAATGCACCTAGCTGTCAATGTTCCCTTTAAGCTGCGCGGCTGCGCGGACGCGCAGCAATCTCACAGACGCCGCAGCAGTTTTGAGCACCGCGCAGCTAAATTCCACTTAACTGTCTGTAGGCTGAAAATTTTGCGTACAAAAAAATTGATGCTGTAAAAATTTGCACACAACCTTATGATTTTGCACACGACCCAACAAACCTTAGAGAGAACATTTCTAGCTTTATATAAGTTGTCTCACACGACCCAACAAACCTTAGAGGGAACATTGCTAGCTGTATATAAGTTGTCTCACACGACCCAACAAACCTTAGAGGGAACATTGCTAGCTTTATATAAGTTTTCTCACACGACCCAACAAACCTTAGAGGGAACATTGCTAGCTTTATATAAGTTTTCTCACACGACCCAACAAACCTTAGAGGGAACATTGCTAGCTTTATATAAGTTGTCTCACACGACCCAACAAACCTTAGAGGGAACATTGCTAGCTGTATATAAGTTGTCTCACACGACCCAACAAACCTTAGAGGGAACATTGCTAGCTGTATATAAGTTGTCTCACACGACCCAACAAACCTTAGAGGGAACATTGCTAGCTGTATATAAGTTGTCTCACACGACCCAACAAACCTTAGAGGGAACATTGCTAGCTGTATATAAGTTGTCTCACACGACCCAACAAACCTTAGAGGGAACATTGCTAGCTGTATATAAGTTGTCTCACACGACCCAACAAACCTTAGAGGGAACATTGCTAGCTGTATATAAGTTGTCTCACACGACCCAACAAACCTTAGAGGGAACATTGCTAGCTGTATATAAGTTGTCTCACACGACCCAACAAACCTTAGAGGGAACATTGCTAGCTGTATATAAGTTGTCTCACACGACCCAACAAACCTTAGAGGGAACATTGCTAGCTGTATATAAGTTGTCTCACACGACCCAACAAACCTTAGAGGGAACATTGCTAGCTGTATATAAGTTGTCTCACACGACCCAACAAACCTTAGAGGGAACATTGCTAGCTGTATATAAGTTGTCTCACACGACCCAACAAACCTTAGAGGGAACATTGCTAGCTGTATATAAGTTGTCTCACACGACCCAACAAACCTTAGAGGGAACATTGCTAGCTGTATATAAGTTGTCTCACACGACCCAACAAACCTTAGAGGGAACATTGCTAGCTGTATATAAGTTGTCTCACACGACCCAACAAACCTTAGAGGGAACATTGCTAGCTGTATATAAGTTGTCTCACACGACCCAACAAACCTTAGAGGGAACATTGCTAGCTGTATATAAGTTGTCTCACACGACCCAACAAACCTTAGAGGGAACATTGCTAGCTGTATATAAGTTGTCTCACACGACCCAACAAACCTTAGAGGGAACATTGCTAGCTGTATATAAGTTGTCTCACACGACCCAACAAACCTTAGAGGGAACATTGCTAGCTGTATATAAGTTGTCTCACACGACCCAACAAACCTTAGAGGGAACATTGCTAGCTGTATATAAGTTGTCTCACACGACCCAACAAACCTTAGAGGGAACATTGCTAGCTGTATATAAGTTGTCTCACACGACCCAACAAACCTTAGAGGGAACATTGCTAGCTGTATATAAGTTGTCTTGAATTTTTACGTGATTAGCTATTTTAGCATCCCGTGGCCCAGGACCGGGTGGTGACCCGACATTTGGGACATGCTGCTGTAAGGGATTCTTCTCTTACTAGCCCCAGATTCAGGGCACTCATCTTTTTTTACCCCACCTATTTCGGCTAGTTTCACACGCACCATATATAACTGACGACTGAAAGTGTGTGTGTGTTTGGGGGGGGGGGTTTGCGGGTGTATGATGATTTCCTTACGCCCATATTTTGCAGGCGTTGTCACGAAATAGCAAGTTGTCCCGTCGGGTTTGCGGGTTTAGCATTCTTTCTTAGTTTCAATCACGATTTGGAAAAAATAAAACATTAATTTCTCAAATGTTAAATGGTATCGTACGCATTGTGTGCATCAGAACGGGTTTGGTGTCGGAACTTGGTTGGTCTAAGAACTTGTTTGATGAAATTGAACTTACACTCCGTGTCAAGACTGTCGAGTTCTAAACTTGTTAGGTGCCACGTGAGTTTATGTATTGAATAATTTCACATTTAAATTTGATGATTATATAATGTGTGATCAAGACCATTGAGGGCCAAGCGGCTTGCAAAGGGCTGGACCAGGAGGCTGTATTCAATGGTACTTCTCACGCCACCAGGTTAAAGAGCTCCCCAATTAGTGCAGCATTGGCTCTCCAGTTAGTGCAGCCTCACAATTCAGTTAGTGCAGTCTGGCTCTCCAGTTAGTGCAGCCTGGCTCCACAGCAATAGCATGCCAGTTTTTTCATCAGACTTAGTTTAGACGTGGCTTCAACTCACAATTCACGTAAAAGTTTGTGTAGCTCGACTTTCGGGTCCAGTGTCACGCCAAAATAGGATTGTGTCCTATCTCAATTTGATGGTAATAAGCGGAGAGAATATCTCATTGTAATCTTTTCCTGAAGATGGCTAATTCTATTTCCTCTTTAAGATTATTCCTTCAATTTGTGAAAATAGAATGACTGTTTTACCTGTGTTTACCGCTATTTTCCGCCTCGCAGTGTATGAGTCTGCACTGTTTAGATCCTCTCACAGCCGTGGCTGCAGTTGCTGCACTCTCTGCCCCCAACTCCAAATAACCAGATCATAAGCCAACATGGCATACTGTGAATCTAATCCCCCGTGAAAATATTGTACATATGTCAGGAACACGTCGCAGCTCGAGGCCGATCCCTGCGGGTGTCCTTCCTCAAGTGCATCCGTGTTTTGCACTTGGTCTTCTGTTCTTGTTGCGATGATCGTCCGATTCGACAAGAACGAATGGGTCCAGTCATAAATGTTTGCAGTGACACCGAGTTTCTGCTGTTTGTACAAGAGGCCCCGCGAGCCACACTCCGTCATATGTCTTCTTAAGCTAAAATAAAACATATTGCCACCCTTTAATTTCTCATTTGTGTTTCATTGACAATGGGGTGGCCCAAGGGGATATCTTGATCCGTCCGCTAGAGCCCCTTGCAGAAGCCGCCTTGAGTCAGTGGTAAGCTCTTCGTTCGTTCTAAAACCTTGTACAGTCCTTCGTTTACCAATCGTTCAGCTTCCCACCCCCACCCCCAAAAATAATAAATAATTACAAGATTCTTCCATTGTTAACCAATTAATGTAATGATTGTGAGACCACGAAGAGATGTTAGAAGATTGTTGGCATGAAGCGTTCGACGATTGAAGATTTACATTTTAACATATTTATCTGTTTGAAGACACTGAAGAAATTTTACAAAATGAAACCTCTTATTCCAGTTTCCTCCTTTCTGACTCGCCAGGTCTCCGCCTAACCATCTTTTTCCAGTTCCTCATTTCTGACTCATTGGGGTTCTGCCAAACCATCTTATTCCATTTCATCTGACACTTCGGGTCTCCGGCATTAATAGTTCATGCCCATTGTTTGGTTCTTCAGTTTCTGATTGAAACGAGATCCTTCTACGTCATTGAACCTTCTTATATTCAATAAGCCTTTCGAATTTCAAATGATTTTAATTCTAATTCAGTTCGTTTAATTTAAAAAAAAAAAATTGAATCAAACCAATAAGTAGATCCCACCCGTGAGAGACCCTCTAGTAGTGGACTCACCCGTGAGAGACCCTTAGCCTTAGTATTTGACTCACCCGTGAGAGACCCTGTAGCAGTGGATTCACCCGTGAGAGACCACCGTGAGAGACCCTTAGTATTTGACTCACCCGTGAGAGACCCTTAGTATTTGACTCACCCGTGAGAGACCCTTAGTATTTGACTCACCCGTTAGAGACCCTCTAGTAGTGGACTCACCCGTGAGAGACCCCAAGTAGTGGACTCACCTGTGAGAGACCCTCAGTAATGCACTCACCCGTGAGAGACCCCCAGTTATGGACTCACCCGTGAGAGACTCGCAGTTGTCGGCTGATGACACAAGGGCGAACCCCTTGGGACGCCAGTTCGACAATCTTCAAACGAATGTGGTTGGGGAGCGGTCTTCCATTGATGAACACGCCCCCAAGTTGATTGACACGACCTTGTCCTGCGGCGCAATCAAAGATGAAAAATCACTGTTATTTTGCAGTTGTATTTGAAAGGAAAGGCAATGCATGACTTTAAGTAGGTCTAACCCTATCAAAATATTACCATTTAGCGCAAACAATCTCACTATATTGCTCTACCATTCTAACCATATAACCCTTACAATCTTACCATATAACCTAATAATCTTACATAACTTAACAATCTTACCCAATAACCTAACACTAACAAACTTACCATATCAATCTTACCATTTAGCTAAAAATCTTACCATATAACCTAACACTCTTACCATAAGACCAAACAATCTTACCGTACAACTAAAAATCTTACCACATAACCTAACAATCTTACCGTAAGACCTAACAATCTTACCATAGAACCTAACATTCTCACCATAGAACCCGAACAGTCTTACCACATAATTAAGCGCACCCACTTTAGATAAGTGTACTGATGTAATGTTAGTGTTAGGGTACCATAATTACCAATGGTTCCCACGCCATGTCTGAGTACGGAATAAATTCTGATTTCAGACAGCATTACTTCTTGTTTACGTCATATATATATATTTTAAAATTCCATCGTGGACAGTTTTTATGCTGAAGTTATTCAGGTCAGTGAGGTGTTTTGCCATCCTGGCTTGTTCCCTTGTGGACTTGGGTTCGATTTTCGGTAAGGCAATTTTTCCCCCTGCTGTTTTTTTTTTTTTTTTTTTTTTTTTTTTTTTTTTTTATTTTTTTTTTTTTTTTTTTTTTTTTTTTTTTTGTTAAAGTTTTGACAAGTGCTTGTATGAAACTACCAATTATTTTATTTTTTGGTGTTTAGAAGTGCTTTTATAAGAAATAGCATTCAATTTTTATTTTTCAGAAGCACTTTTATAATATCTAACAATTCAACTTTTTATTTTTTCTGAAGTGCTTTTATAAAAACAAGCAATTAAAGAGTTGGAAATAAATATAATTAAAGGGACATCTTGTTGCTAACACTGTCAGAAGAATCTTCTCTCTCCGTAACATTTTCAGAGGAAATTTCTAGTTTGACTTTCATGTTGTTGCATCAAGTATTTTTGTTGTTACAATACATCCACTAAATACCACTATACAATAATTCAAAATAGAAATTTTTGTGACGTGACATTGAAACAGTTCTAATGCTGGTGGTTGTGTTCCATGATTGTTGGTTTAATATATGGCGTAATGCGGGCTGACTTCAATAGGCGGCAGGACATTTATAATGTAGGAGGACTTTTATAAGGATTGATGACTTTTAAAAGGTGGGAAGAATTTTTATAAGTTGGGATGAATTTTATTAGGCGTCATTACCTTTATAAGGCGGGCTGAATTTTATTAGGCGTCATTACCTTTATAAGGCGGGCTTAATTTTATTAGGCGTCATTACCTTTATAAGGCGGGGTGATTTTGGTGAGGTGAGATTATTTTTGTATAACTTTCAGATGCACATCGCCTTTTGTGTTCCACGAATAAAAAAAATTTAAAAAATTCTTCCAAATACAATTATAAAAAAAAATTAAAAAAAACACGGAACAATTGAATGGCCTACAACAAAACCATGACCCGATATTTTAAGCTGAATTTTCATGCTACATTACTGATCTATCAAAGAACTGAAAGGTCGTAACAGAATTGTCGGGGGGATAGTAATTACAAAAAAATTGATAATTTTTGTAATAAAATTGACAATCTTTAATATCATTGTGAATAATTTTATGGTAGGTGCTGTGGTTAAGGTTATCTTGGTTAAATTTACATAATGTGCACATTTTCAACGGATGGATCAGCTGCTAAGTAAGAGTTATTACGATGGTGTGGTTGATGGTTACGAAAGTAACGATGATGGTAGCAATGATGGCATTGTTGGTGGTGATGAAAGTAGTGATGATGGTAATTACGATGATGATAATGGAAATGGTAAAGGATGGCAATAAAGACATAGTCGAACCGGGTTTCAGGGCCGGCGCCAAGACGATGCGGGGCCTTGGGCACATTGAGTTTTGCGGGGCCGTTGACGTTCTATACTCCGCCGATAGGATATTAAGACACTTTGTAGTCGTACGCGCCGTAACGGATAGTTGCTCATCCGCTTAGTTTCCGAATATTGTGTTGACTGGATTAGGAAGTACCATCATGCTTAGGTACATTATAAATAAACTAAGGCAACGCGCGGTCCCCCACTTCGCCGTCCCCCTAGCGCCGCCCCTGCGGGTTGCATTGCTGATAATAAAACACTCGTTTCCATTGTATAAATTACTAGTTATAATTATTATAATCATTAAATTAATATTGAACTTAAATGGATTATGGTTTTTTTATCGCATATCCCCCAGATTAGATACATTAAAAGTTGAGGTGAAGACGCCATTACATTGATGACGCTTTTAAATTAATGACTCTATTAAATTGATGACGCTATTAAGTAGATGACGCTATTGAATTAATGAATCTATTAATTTGAAGCCGCTATTATATTGATGACCCTGTCGAATTGTTGACTGTTTACCTTTCATCAGCGTCTCCTGCTCCATGGCCGCAAACTCCATTAATCAGAAATGTCTTTTTTATATCCGAACGAAGTGAAATCTTTGTCTACACAGAAGCATAACTTTGCACACACCATCCGTGCCAACTTATCACTTGCCTAACTTCTTATAAAGCTGACTGATGATGCTAGTTATCTAAACTTCTTTATAATCAGCATGCCCACATTTTTTTTTCCACCCCTCTCATAAACGGAATTGTTATTCGAGCAATTCTGTTAAATGATAGTGCAACTGAGTTTTTAAACTCATGTTCCCATGAAGATGGTAAAAAAAAAAAAGAAAACTTTAAAAAAAAAAAAAAAAAAAAAAAAATCACTTTTTCTCAAGCAAAAAAAAAAAAAAAAAAAAAAAAAAAAAATAAAAAAAAAAAAAAAAAAAAAAAAAAAAAATCACTTCTTGTCAAGCACAAGGAACGGCCATCGCCAGGCCGTCGACATGCACAAATGATTCACGGCCCATTGGGCAGCTCACATCTGTAGTCTTGATAAAAATGACTGTTAGTTACTGATACAGCACGTTCTGTCTAGGCTGGTGGGTGGAGGGTGAGGCCCGGTCCTGGCAGACTTGGTCAGGGTTCCGCTAATTAAATACGGTGGGCCTAACGAGCCAATTGAAAGGCCCCGATTTCTTAAACTGACAGCCTCAAAAACAGTGACGGGTTGAATTCTCGGCGGCCAGGCCGGTGGCTGGCAGGTCAACGAGAACTCCATAGCACTTCATCCCCTGATGGTTAACTTATTTAACGCTATATGATAGCTATATATACTGAGCAAAAGATATGTATCTGTATATCCTTCTATCTGTATATCTATCTATCTATATGTATTTATTTAGCTATGTAACGTATTGTTCAAAGTACATTTGCAATATTCCGAGTGTAGCCCCCCCCCCCCCCCCCCATTTTTTTAAACTAACATCCCGAAAAAAAAGTGTGGGTGGGGGGGGGGGGGGGGGGGGGGGATACGCGTTAAAAAAAAACAGTATATACCTTAATGTTGTGAGCATCTTTATATTTTTCCTTATTTAATAAATCTTTTAAAAGATGTCAGAAATAATAAATTTCACAAGGAAATACTTATATTACACGACAACTAAGGAATTGACAGCGAGAAAGTGGAAAATAGCGTTAATATGGGGAAAATAAGCAATATATGGGGTAATCAAAGCTGGAACAATTTTTCTCAAAACAAATGAGTTTTAATATTCCTAACCTTAAGATCCGGGCCAAAGCTAAAAAATATGTTCTTTTAGAACTAGTCAGTCAAATTCCTCTCAAATATGTTCATTTAGAAATTGTCAGCCCAAGCCTCGGCTGGCCGAAAATACAGCCCCTCAATGAAAACCCTCCCAAAAAGTGCCCCCAGTATCGGACTGCGCCCCCCCCCCAACCTGCCACGCACCCCACTTCCTACGCAACTGCTCGGTTGTTTCATAAAACTTTGCCGAGTGCCTTATGCTAATGGTTTCACTCCTAGAAAGAAACTGGCGACCAATTTGTATGCTAATTTCAGGCTGTAAGTCACGAACGATTCGCCAAAGACTTGATGGATCGGGAAGAGGAACTTTTCAGAGCCTTGCCTCAAAGCATATATTCAAAATAAGGGTGGGGGGGGGGAAGGAGGAGAGAGAGTTCTATATGTTTATTCTGTTGGTTTGGTTGGGAAAAAGATTTATTATATGATTTTATTTAATTAAAAAATGTAATTTTATTTCTTTTTTTCCAGCTAGAGCAAATAACCCGAAAGAGTATGTTTCTAGAACCCTCGAAGAATACTCTCTGATTTGAGACAATAATAGGAGTCTTTTTTTTGTTTTGGTCATATTTACCAATTTTTTACATATTAACTAAGTTGTCATTATCATTTTCATGGTCAAATTCTTCACTCACAGGGTTAAAAATAACTTCATATTTGGAGGGACACACTTAAACAACAACAGCAACAAATCACGAATTTTGCATACACGGTAAAAGCAAAACTCGATTTTTTTTTTCATGTGTACAAACAAAGCTCGACTTTTTATGTGGTACAATCAAAACTCGACTTTTTCATGCGGTACAAACAAAACTCGACTTTTTCATGTGGTACAAACAAAACTCGACTTTTTATGTGGTACAAACAAAGCTCGAATTTTTCATGTGGTACAAACAAAACTCGACTTTTTATGTGGTACAAACAAAGCTCGAATTTTTCATGTGGTTCAAACAAAACTCGACTTTTTTATGTGGTACAAACAAAGCTCGAATTTTTCATGTGGTACAAACAAAACTCGACCCCTGAGTCTTGTTCGGTTCTTTGGAGGAACCGTTACCAATGTGCTATTTTTGTTGTTTTTGGAAAAAATGACTAATCAATAATAACAAGTTTAGCTCTCAAAATATTTTCTTAGTAGATTTAATCATACAAATGGTTGATCGTTCCGAAACAAAAGTTTGCAGACCCCTGGCATAGCATTGTGTAGCCGAAGAAGTTAGACTCACGGCACGAGACCAAACGTTATGTTAGCAGCGATGACATATCATTTCTGCTTTTAAAAAAAAAATGAAGACCACAGCCGTGATGTGTACGAGTCCCGAGATGTATTGAGATCATATACAACACTGACGCGCTCCGGGGATCCGTCAGGACGGCATCGACACGCAGCCAGCCAGACACCGCGTGGTACGCCCCGCTCGACACCACCGTGGCGTATTGCAATAATTAATTGGTCATCTCGTTTTATGTAGCGGTTCGAGCTCCGACTACCCCGTCATCCATTCGACAGGCGTGTTAGCCACGGTCCCGGTGTGTCATTGGCGTGTTTGGGGCCTTTCTTTGACTACTGCCAGCAGTCGTCATTACGTCTCAAAAGGGCGGGGGGGGGGGGGGGGGGGGGCGGAAGGATAGGATGGGGTATTGGTTGAATTGTTAAAAACGTAAACATGATGTTAAACTTGATGTCAAAAAGTCAATGTAATAGTAAACATGACTTTCGCTTGATGTCAAAAAGTCAATGTAATAGTAAACATGATGTTAAACTTGATGTCAAAAAGTCAATGTAATAGTAAACATGATGTTAAACTTGATGTCAAAAAGTCAATGTAATAGAAAACATGACTTTCGCTTGATGTCAAAAAGTCAATGTAATAGTAAACATGATGTTAAACTTGATGTCAAAAAGTCAATGTAATAGTAAACATGATGTTAAACTTGATGTCAAAAAGTCAATGTAATAGTAAACATGATGTTAAACTTGATGTCAAAAAGTCAATGTAATAGAAAACATGATGTTTTGTTTGATGTCAAAAAGTCATTGTAATAGTAAACATGATGTTAAACGTGATGTCAAAAAGTCAATGTAATAGTAAACATGTTGTTTTGTTTGATGTCAAAAAGTCATTGTAATAGTAAACATGATATTAAACTTGATGTCAAAAAGTCAATGTAATAGTAAACATGTTGTTTTGTTTGATGTCAAAAAGTCATTGTAATAGTAAACATGATGTTAAACTTGATGTCAAAAAGTCAATGTAATTGTAAACATGATGTTTTCTTTGATGTCAAAAAGTCATTGTAATAGTAAACATGATGTTTGCTTGATGTCAAAAAGTCAATGTAATAGTAAACATGATGTTTCGCTTGATGTAAAAAAAAAGTCACTGTAATAATAAACATGATGTTAAACGTGATGTCAAGGCAGTCCCACTAACAATTAACATTAGGATCTTTTTTTTTTTAATTTTTTTTTTCGGAATTAATTGACTTAACAAGATATTTCAATGATACAAGATGCACGATAACAGAGAAGATAATTATTATAAGTCCCCCATTGTACGACTCAAGTATGTATGATTGCCACCATATGAGAACTTCTACCAAACCAACTGCGACTCGAGTATCTATTAATGCCACCATATGTTAACATCTACCAATCTATGTACGACTCATGTCTGTATTAATGCGACCATATGATATCGTCTACCAAACTATCTAAGACTCAAGTATCTATTAATGCCACCACATAATACATCTACCAATCTATCTACGACTCAAGTATGTGTAAATCCCACCTAATGACCTTGTGGAAGGGGCGACATAAATATGCTTATTTCAGGCTTCGCTAACCCTGGCTAAGCCACTGCGAAGAGAGAGCTAATGTTAGGTCTCTGAGAGATTTTTCAGAATTTGCGTGCTACCAAACTCCAGATTCTTTCACTCCTTTTCAATCCTTTTCAATCCTTTTCAATCCTTTTCAATCCTTTTCACTCCTTTTCACTCCTTTTCAATCCTTTTCAATCCTTTTCACTGCTTTTCTAATATTCGTAATAATCTTTTAAACATATTTTAAATTTAAAAAATGTAATAATGATTGAAATAAATTAAGATTTTAAAAAGTTATTCTCATTTAATGGGTGTAGATTTCATCTATTTTTTAAATATATTATTATTTAGAAGGTGTATGGGGGTGGGGGTTAGAGATTAGAGACTATATATTTTATATTAAGGCACACACTTACTTTATAAGTGCAAGTTACACCACCCCCCCTCCCCCCTTGAAACTTTTTAATTATCAAAACGCCCCTGAGCCCACATTGTCGGAAACGCAACCGAGTCTAGAATTATCACCACGCCCCTGAATACCTTACAATTTATTCAGACCAACGCATCATCTCTATGACACAATTAACTCCAGATAACAGGACCAATTACTCTTCACGATTCCCCTTTCCGGCCTGGGATCGTGTAGAGTCGTCTCCCCTGGCCCGCTCATGGAATAATTAAATCGGCCAACACTGGCGGCCCTGCAGGCGGGCCAGGATAAGGTGGAAACAATTCAGTGAAAACGTATGTCCAGACGTAACTAGAAGATTCCAAAGCCAAAAACTTTACCCCCACCAACACCCCACACCGCCCCTTCAAAAAAAAATAAAAAATAACATTTTTTGGCGAATGTAACGACATTTACCACACTGTATATACATTATAAAATACAAGTACTAAATAAAATTTGTATGAAGAAAACAAATTTGATTGTATTAAAATTCAATTGGAAATATTTCTTTCCTTTTTAATAGCATGCTGCCAAACGATGATTGGGGCCGCTGGGACAACTGGTGGGTTCGATCATTCTTTAAATTGTAGACATCAATATAGGGCTGATAATTAGGTTGTGCTGCTTGGCCGAGTGGTCTAAAATGAGCGAATCTCACGTTTATGGTCTGGAGTTCAAAGCCCAGGCAAGCTAAAACGTCCCCAGCACCGCGGGTGGACGGGATTT